CACATTTGTATGGGGCTACAATCTCTATGGATACAATAAAAAGTAGTTTTAACTATAATCAAATATTAACATCATCCTGGCCTTGAGGTCACACACTGCTGCATTAAAATGCAAGTAACAATGCTGTGTGTGTGTGTGTGTGTGTGTGTGTGTGTGTGTGTGTGTGTGTGTGTGTGTGTGTGTGTGTGTGTGTGTGTGTGTGTGTGTGTGTGTGTGTGTGCGTGCGTGCGTGCGTGTGTGTGTGTGAATGTTGCTCGTGCTTATGGTTTGCGTTCAAACTATTTACGGTTTGGTTAGAAGAGCGTTTGGTTAGAAGAACGTTAGCAAACCACATTCTGAGTGCTTTCTATTGCTTTTCTTGCATAAACCTGACAGGAAGATTATACCTTCGCATGATGTGTTCAGTAGCAAGGAAATGGAAATTGGGCCATGATTGGGCTTTGTCAAAAAGCACCACATTTCAAATTACATTACATGTTGACGCTTTTATCCAAAGCAACTTACATACTCAAGACTGTGGCCAATCCCCACAGGAGCAATTTGGGGTGAAGTGTCTTGCCCAGGGACATGCTGACTGCAGTGGGGTTTGAACCTGTGCTCCCCTGATCCGAACGCAATAGTCCACCACACGCCCCCCCAATCAGTAGACTATGTTGACTCACTTTACTCACTGCCTGCTTCAATTGATATACCTGCATTTAAAGACAGTAGGAAAGTGTTTGTGTGGACTGAGCTCTGATGTTGTTCCTGAGATGTCGAGCAATTCTCCAAACTAGGGAATTACATCCAGATGGGTTTTTACCTCAGCTTGGACCCTTTTTGCCAATAGCAGGGGATTTCAGGTGGAACAACTATATTTTCACTGCTGCCATTTCCTTCTCCTTATCTCTTACCAGCTGGTTTGCAAGTGCTTGTTTATCCGTTTCGATTTGCAGTATCACGTCTGGACTTGGCGGAGTCTAACCCTTCCTCGGTGCATATATGCTCGTACATGATTCCTGCAACGTGACTGATTTAATCCTCTGTTGTTTGTTTTACCCATTCATCTTAGCTTAGCGAGTGGAGTTTTAAAACCAAGTTTGTAATGCAGTAAATCCTTTGTGTGTATATCATCTTTAATTCAGGAAATACAGCCTAAACGGCCTCATGAGAAAACCAAATGAGGCATTAAAAGGCAAAGATATAAAACATAATCATAGATTACATAATGCATCCATTTCAAAGCATAATAATACTAACACAAAAAGACAGGACAATACATATAGAACAGGAATTAAGGTGCATATCAATTTGATGTAATAAAAACAAACCAATGAAATAGTCTAAATGAATCGCCCAATAATCCCAGAGATGGGAAGTAGCACCTTGAGAGCCATGTATGATTCAGTGTAGAGCTATTTGCTTTCCAAGGAAACAAATGTAACTTTAATGTGGTCTGATTTATTATATATGCAAAAGGTAATCTTAAAAAAAAGTCTTTTGGCGGGCTGCTATTTAATATATTAGGAGAATAAATACTAGAAGCCGCTTCTACAAACATTTTAGTGGTCGTCCAGGGATTACTAAAAGTCAAGATATTAATTTATGTTACACATATAATAATGGTTTGAGGAAAGTGAGTTATATCTGTGCAGATGATGCTCATAATAAAATAGGGTTACAATTTATTTTAAGGATATCAGTAGAGAGAAAAGGAGAATGAGATGTACAGTTTGGTCAAATCATCACCATTAATATATGTTAGTGTATATAAATCAAAAGATTTTCGTTTTGGAAATTTCGTATTTGACATGACCAGTAAATAAAGTTATGCAGTAGAGAAAGTTGTAATATGAAAGTGAAAATTAAAGGAAAGAAATCATTCTGAGTAGAAATGGGTCTATTCCAAACCTGGGCAGAAAAAGGAGAGTCCTGTTCATTTGAGATAGAGGGTGATGGGTATAAGAGGCCATGATTCTCTGAGCGGGATGATGTTGAAGAGGAAGTGAAGGATCAGGATCGGCCATCAGAGACAGAACCGGACTCTCGTTGCTGTGGTAACCAAATATGCCATTGGGGACATTCATTGAGTGTACAGTAGAGATGTTTAAAGAGGCCCTATCATGCTTTTGGGGTTTTCCACCTCCTGTAGTGGGTTAAATAGGTTTTATGTAAATGTTCTGTAAAGGTTTAAACCCCCAACAGTTTCTCTCCCACACACTCCCCCCCCCGCCTTAAAAAAAAAAAAAAAAACCCGGGCTTTCCATTGGACTCCTTTATTACTTAGTAAAACATCAGTGACATCAACGTTACATTCGCGCTCTTTGGCGAATACTCTGACATATTATATTATATGCCCCCCCCGAATAGGACCTAAGGGGCCCGGGACATCTCTTAGGGGGTTCGCTATCCAACAGAGCCGCCCAGCCGAACCAATCAGAGCAGACTGGGCTCTGCTTTGAGACAGAGGGTGAAAAAGAGGTGCTACAGCACAGGCCAGTATGAGAAATTAAAAGTAGCTTTTGTCACATGTCACAGTAGAGAAAGCAAAATAGACAAATAATGGGGGAACATGAAAAATCAGCAAATAATTAAATGGAACTCCTTAATTCAGCAGTTTTTTGATGAATAAAAGAAGAAAAAAAAATCACTAATGGGAAAAGGAAAGGAAAAAGTTCCCAACCCAAATTGGGAAATGTGCTTAAAACAATAATCAAGTATCGTAATCTTCCTTGAAATCCATCCAGCCAAAACCTGTCCATCAA